CCTCATGAATGTTTCATCACTCCACTTAAGCCAATGAAGCTGTGAAGAGTGTAGCAGATTTCTAAGCAAAATACTGAAGGTGTGGCTTTGGTCTTCTTCATTGCTTATAGTAAAATGCAAAAAGGAACTACAACTTAAAGACTAATTTTTTTAAAAAAGATATAGTTTTAATTATATGTATATATCTGTGTGCTGATATGTGCTATGTACAAGTTCCCATGGAATTCAAAAGAGGGCACCGGACTGGAGCTGGAGTTACATGTGGTTGTGAGCTGTTTGACACGGGTACTGGGAACTGAACATGGATCCTCTGAAAAAAACAGTATAAACTCTGAACCACTGAGCCATTCTATTATTTCCAGCACCTAAAGATGAATTCTTATCCTGTCTGTATGATGTATGATACACACACACACACACACACACACACACACGCACACACACACACACACACACACACACACACATAGTATGTTTGAAAGATACTATCAGGGGTGTGACAAACATTACTGATTTGAAGGCTAGTACGTTTGTGGACTTCAACAGAAGCCAAAGTAGAGAAGGGATTTATTTGTAAGCAGAAATATTTACACCTGGAATTAAATGCAACAGAAAATGAAATGCAATGAATGGAGTATATAGTTTGAATGAAATTGTGCCACTTGGGGTGATATGCTTCCCCCAGGAGCCATAGACTATCAAAACTCCCAATGTTAGCATGAAAAACCTTCTTTCGAGTTGCTGGTTAGGGGAGTTCAAGAGAACCCAATGTAGATGGAGTTTCTTTTTCTGACTGCTCCCACAGCTGCTTTGCCTCAAATAAACACACAGAGACTTGTTTATGAACTGGCTGATGGCTCAGGCTTCTTATTGGCTAGCTCTCTCTTAATTATTAACCCATAACTATTAATCTATGTATTTCTGCATGGCCTTATCTTTCCAGAGAAGGCTCTACCATGTTGCTCCTTCAGTGGCTACGTGGTGTCTCTCCCTCAACCTCTTTCTGCATCCTCTCCCCAGAATTTTCCTCGTCTCCTCACCCACCTATACTTCTTGCCTGGCTACTGGCCAATCAGTGTTTCATTCATCAACCAATAAGAGAAGCTTATATTCAGAAGGACACCCCCCCCATTCCCCTAAAACACTACAGGGTATTGCTATTTCTCATGGTCGCCTCATAGAAGTTGGAGGTAAGCCCCACACACATGACTCAAAGCTTTCATAGTACCGGAAATTGCTATGTGAGTTGCCAAGAAAAAAAAGCAATCATGAGTCCTATTCAGCTATGATACTATGAAGCACAATAATGACTTAGGACCAGAGATCTTAAATTCAAATCCCAGCAACCATATGGTGGCCCACAACCATCTATAACGAGATTTTGTACTGTACAATTAATGATGGTGGAACATGCAGGCCTGTAGCATTTTAAGCAAGTACTCTACCACTGAGCTACATTTATAAAATAAATAAATTTGCAGCACTCTGGGAAGCAGAGGCAGGCAGAGCTCTGTGAGCTTAAGGCTAGCCTGGTTTACAAATTGAGTTCCAGGCCAGCTAGGTCTACACAGTGAGACCCTTTTGGGAAGAATGGAAAAAAAAGAAAAAGAAGAAAAAAGAAAAACAAAGAAATTTAGTAATAAAAAAGAAATACTTAGCCAGGCACGGCAGAGCATGCCTTCAGTCCCAGTAAGTGGGAAGCAGAATAGGTGAATCTAAATGAGTTCCAGGACAATCAGGTCTACACTGTAAGACTTTGCCAAAAAGAAAAGAGTGAGTTCCCATGCTGGGAATACAGGTGTGTGCCACCATACTCAGTTTATGTGGTGCTGGCAATCAAACCCAAAGCTTTGTGCATGCTAGGCAAGCACTGTAACAACTAAGTACCAACTGAGCTACTACATACATGGCCTGACCATGGTATTTTATAGGCAACTAGTTTTGTATGCTCACATTGAAAGATTAGATTTAACTCATCTTCTTTTTTTTTGTTTTTTTTGAGATAGGGTTTCTCTGTGTAGCCCTGGCTGTCCTAGAACTCACTTTGTAGACCAGGCTGGCTACTCAAGGCTTTCTTAACACATGTATTTAGTTAAAATAGATTATTAACACATTAAAAATAATTTTGGGCAGGAGAGCTGAAGAAGTGCCCACATGTAACTTCAATGGATCCAATGACTTCTCGCCTCCACAAAATTTTTGATTTCCATGGGGTACCAGTCACGCACACCTGGAACACCTACATGCATGCATAAATAATTTAAACACATAAAATAAATATTTAAAAATTAAAATAAATAGTTTGAAACTGGCCTTTATTCTAGCTGGGGAATTTACTATTTAGTTTCCTACTACAAGCTACATTTGAGCTTACAGACTGATGAGTTGAGGTATGTCAAATGAAAACACTTAAGGCTGGTTTATCTTATGGTGATAGAGAATGCCAGAGTGGTCTTCAGTAGCCAAAGACACAAAACTTAACCTTTACAAGGAACATTTAATGTAAGGAAGAAAGTTTCTTTGCTTTGAGCTAGATAAAGACTATTAAACTTAAAAACAGAGTAGCAAGTACATAGAAAATAAGAAATTAGACTGGCAAATTACTTTAAAATGGAGACTAATAGGTTTTTCTTTTCATGTAAACTGAAGTTTGTGGTTACATTAACAAATTATTACTAATAACTTTAAAACAGGTCTTTATGATTTTCCATGACTTGACAGTTCAGTCAATATTAGAGTTTTACTGCTTCATAATTATGTAATTCTTTTGGAAGATAAATTACTCCAGTGAATTCCAAGGCCATATGTAAACCTTGAGTAATCTCAAGTTGATGTTCAGAGATCTTTAGATCTTTAGATTGGATCTACAAGGAAATATAAGAATCTTTGGATTCTTTTTAAAATTCAAGTGAGAGTAATATTTACAATGCTTCCGATAAAATGTCTACTGAGTTTCTATCTCTTGGCCTTATACAAAATGAGATTTGACTGTCAAATCTTCCCTAAGAAAGTGAAAAAAATCAAGCTTTAAGCCAAAATTTATATGATAGTCACGACAGGAAAAAATATCGCCAATAACCTCTGTTACTAAAGAAAAGGAACTACACTTTAAGTTATAGTATGTCAGCAGTAACAAATACTTGATAATTTTTATTTCCATTTCTTTATTTTAGTATACACTAAATGAACAGGACAATTGGTTTCATTATTATCGTTCATATATTTAAATAACTTTTTATGATTATATTTCTTCCTTTTGTCCCTGCTCCACCCCTGTTTGTTCCCTGCCTCCTCTCAAACACCCTTTCTTATACTTTTAATGTTTTATTTTTAAAATCTAGATTCCACATATACAGAACATGAACGGTCTTTCTGCATCTAGCTTATTTGGCTTAACATGAATATTTCCAATTCATGCATTGTTTCCACAAATGATAATTTTATTCTTGATGGCTGAATAAAACTCCCTTTAGCTGGTTAGTGTCCTAATAATAAGCTCGCTTATCATATTCATTGTATATATCACTCAGAATGGCTCATCATTTGAAATAAACACATAATTGACTAGAACTTTCCAGACAGATGTTCCCTTTATGGCATAGGCTAACTTCAAACTAGCTATTTAGCCAAGGATTGATGGGCCTAAAAAAAAAAAACGGGCCAGGACGCAAGGCCTAGTGGAACTTCCTGAGCCTGGCTAGAGTCTGGTGACCCATCTTTGGCCTATCACTTCCGCATAGGAGTGACTCAGCAAAACTGCCTTTGCCTAGCTACTGCTAACATGGAGAATCATAAATAACCTCAATACCTCACCCCATCCTAAGGTTCACGCCCCAAGCCCCCAAAATATATAAGTACCTGCCTGTTACAATAAAATGAGCTCCTGCTTTGGCAAGGCTCCCAAGTCTGGGGTCCATCCCGCTCAGCCCCAGGAAGACCCAGGAAGAGAATGGCTGGACCAGCCCTTCCACACACAGCCCAACCTACCGGAGGATCCAGCAAAGGATGACCTTGGACTTTTGATCATCCCATCTCTACTTCCTAAGTGCTTCAATTACATGTGTAGACCTTATGCAGTGCCAGGGAATCAAACCCAGGATTTTGAGCATGCTAAGCGAGCACTCTATCAACTGAGCTACATCTCCAATGCCTAAGAGACTTGGTGAAAACTGAGCCCAAACTAGCTTCCCATACCACTGAAAAACAACCAACCATATGAAATCCTTCTGAATTATAATTGGATTCTTAAAGCAGTTCCATTTATTCATTTTTAAAATACTATTTATCTAGTTTTAAAAAATAATTTTTTAAATTTAAAAAGCTTTAATTGTGTATGGGTTTTGTCTGCCTATATTTTTGTGTACTATGTAAGTGCCTGAGGCTCTCAGAGGCCAGAAGAGGGTGTTGGGACCCCTGGGACTGGAGTTATAAGCCATCATGTGGCTCTGGGAATTAAATCTGGGTCCTCTGCAAGAGCAGTCAATGATCTTAACCACCAAGTCATCTTTCATGCCCCTATCTAGATTTTTTAAAAAAAGATTTGTTGGTGTGTGTGTGTGTGTGTGTGTGTGTGTGTGTGTGTGTGTGTATGCATGCATGCACAGGCGCATGCCCATGGACATGTGCCTGCCCACAGCAAACAGAAAAAGGCCTTAGGTACCCTGGGCATGAAGTTACAGATAGTTGTGAGCTACCCCATGGGTGCTAGAAGTTGAAGTTGGGTCCTTTGGAAGAGCAACAAGCACTCTTAACTGCCATCTCTACAGCCCTGTTTGTTTGCTTTTGAGATAGAGTCTGGCTAAGTAGCCCATTGTCCTGTTTCAGCTTCCTGAGTGCTGAGATTTACAGACGGGAGTCACTACATAAAGCAGCAGTTCTTTTTTTAAAGTATCAATGGACCATCTTGTAAAACCAGGACAAACTAATTCAGCAAGACTAAAAAAGATTTAGGGAAAAGATATAACAACATAAATGCCATAAGATGAAATGAACAAACATACCTTCTTGGCTGCGACCGGCATTCCTCCTCCCCACTGTCAGCCTCCTGTATAAACAGAAATTAAAAAAAAAATTAGAATGGTCTCATAAGTAATGTAATTTAACTAAGCCTTTTATGCAGGTTGCAAGTCATTCATGTTGGTCTGCATTTAAATTAAATTTTCTTCATAAAAGATGATTTACACTAAACAAAGAGACTGATAACACTAAAATATATTACTGAAAGAAACATTAGCAACAGTTTATAAACTTTAATAAGTGCTACTTATTAAAATAATTACCTCTGAACACCAACCAACCATGTTCTATATTGTTATGCTACTTTAAAATTAGTACCATCACATTTCCACCAACAAACACTATCAAAATGACCTATGATTCTGATCCACAAAGAACAACCTAAAAAAATGAGCAAACATTCCAAGTGCTTATGGAAAATCACCAGTGCCATCAACATGATGGCTACCTAATTACTGAGCACTTAAAATATTCTAGGCACCGTGTATGACACATTAAGTACATTATCATTTTGTTGTTGTTGTTTTGTTTTTGTTTCTTTGTGTAGCCCTGGCTGTTCTGGAACTCACTCTTAGACCATGATGGCCTCAAATTCCAAGATCTGCCTGCCTCTGCCTCTCAGTGCTGGGATTAATGGTATATAGCCCCATGCCTGGCCTTACTGATTTCTTAAAGGGGATGGAGAACACCAAGGAATCAAGGCCTTTTAGATACAGCAGTGATGGCTTACATGTGAACTCACAGAGAGTGTGGCAGCATGCACGGAGTCTGCTGGGGTCCTATTGGAGAAGCAAACATATGACTCCATCCCTAACCCAGAAACTATCTCCAATTTATAGCCACTTGGAAATTAAAAAAAAAAAAAAGATTTTTCTCTATGGGAATCTCACTGGGAAAACAAACTACTTTTACAGTAGATGATCAACACAAAACATACTCAACTGCATCTTTGGAGATTCTTTGTCTTGTACTGTTAAGTTAGGGCATATGATACAGGATAGATGAATAAGAAACACGGAATCAGGACTGAAGAGATGGTTTAGTAGGTAAAGTGCCTTCCCCCAAAGCCTGACAGCATGAGAATGTAGAAAAAAATGACTCCACCAAGTTGTTGCCTAATTTCCTAATGTGTGCTATGGCATGCATTCAAAAGCACACATATATACACAATAAATACACCATGTGATAGTAAAACTATAGTAATTTTAGTGGCACATAAAATAATTGGGTATTAACTTATAAAAACTAAAACTCAATAAATGTTTTGTCAGTTAAGAAAGCAAATTTCACAAAAGGGAAATAAGTTGTTCAAGGAAACTCAGGGTGATGTTACAATTAAAACCACAAGAAAATTCCTGTTGTAGAATATTATTTTAAGGTGTGTTACTTTTGTTTATGTTCTGGAATATTTGTTTAATGATGCAAAGATGTGTTCGATTAAATAAAATTCACCTTCAGTCAGGAGGCTGGGAGTAACTAGCTGACAGGAAGTTGCAGGGAGGAGCCAGGTGGAAGAGGGTTTACAAGGAGGGCTAGGAGAGCATGATGCCTTCTTGGGAGACTGGGAGAGGTGAGCTAAGTAAGTGGCTTGCTATTATTCAGCCTCTCTGGGAAGCAGGATTATACCTCAACCTTTGAATCTTGAGTGGGACAGAGATTTAAATAAGTTTCATTAGTAGTTTTGAAAGAGTCAGTGCCTGAGGGAACTAGCCGCTGCTGGTAGCGGTGGAGTGACAGTTACTGAATAGGATGGCCATAGCTCAAGGCAGCAACAACCAAAAAAGAACAACATACTCCCATCATTTACCTATGCCTGGCCCACATTAGGACCTAGTTATGTTAGTATAATATACAGACCTTCACAGACACAAGGATATTGATGATGGAAAAGAGAGAAAAGATGATAGGATTAATGACAGTATAAAGACTTTTTTCTTTACAATTGCTTCTTGGTTTTAATATTTGTTCTGTCACCACTTTTGCACAATTTTGGAAACATTTACCTCTTCATCATTTACCTATGCATCATTCCACCTCCATTCCTGGGTGTCTATGGCCAACTCTCTCTTTTTAAACTTTTATTCTTCTCTCATACATTACATCCTACAGTTCCCCCTCTCTCCATTCCTTCTAGTCTCTCTCTCCACCTCTACTCCCCAGAAAAACTCCTCCTCTGTCACCCCCTCAAAAAAAGAACAGGTCTCCCAGGGATATTCACCAAACATGGCCCAACAAGATAGAATAAGACTGGGCACAAGCCCTGATATCATGGCTAGTTGTGGCAACCCAGTAGGAGTAAAAGGATCCCATGTCAGGTAAAAGAGTCAGAGACCTCCCCCCCTTCACTCCCACTGTTAGAGTCCCACAATAATACCAAGCTACACAATCATAAGGTATATGCAGAACACCTAGCTCAGACCCATACAGGGTCCACGTTTGTAGCTACAGTTTCTGTGAGGCCCTATGAGCCCTCCTTAGTTAGTTGATTCATGGGAAACTCTTAACGTTTATTCCTATGTTATTCTTAATATTGATTTTAATTCAATCATTGCTATTGTTTCTGCTGAAGAAATAACACTGCAGAGATTCCACTCCTAGAAGGAGGTACAGGGTATCCTAGTGCAGTGCCCTTTGTTGTACAACAGGGTTTAGGATCAGAAGATACAGTCTTTAAGAACCCATAAAAAGAAGGTGTTAAAATGGAAAAGAACTGAATGAACAAATACACAGAACCTGGAAACCTTATAAAAATGAGAATGAAGGGTCCACTGTGGTGGTACATATGCTGTTATGGGTTTATAATGCTAGATATCCTAACATAACAGTTCTAGAGCCAAGAAATTATAGATTATCCATTAACTAGATGTAACAGAGATTTTTTATTTATTAGTTGTCTTTCCCCTTGGCAATAAACTCTCTCTCTCTCTCTCTCTCTCTCTCTCTCTCTCTCTCTCTCTCTCTCTGTGTGTGTGTGTGTGTGTGTGTAGATGTCAGGAAAAAAAAACCACAAGTAGTCTTTCTAAGATGAGAGGGCACTTTGGGACTGCCGATAGTGCTGTGTGTCTGGTATGAAAGCAGGAGGGTAAAGGCAGTGTGGTAGCTGTGCTGATGTCACCATGGCTGGATTTCAAGATTTCTAAGACTGGTGAAATGCATCTGTGTGTAGGGAGTGGGGAGGGGGGTGTTTCAGAGAGGATTAACATGTGGGATGTTGAGCAAATAGGAGAGGGCAAAGATTCACTCAATGTGGGCAAAACCTTCCAAATGACAACTCAATAGAAAAAGGAAGCAAGAGGCAAGCAGCAAACGCTTGCCTACAAGCTCCTTTCTATTTGAGTGATGCATCTATATTTGCTGCCATCTACTGACAACAAATTCCATCTTCTTCAGTCACTCAGTATGGACTCAGTAGGGCTCTCCAGGGGGTTTCCAGGCTTTCAGCAGTGTATTAAAACTGCTAACCTGTCCCACCTGCTGCTTTGAGAACCTGGTCCTTTACTTCTCCAAACCATGTCTGTGCACATGCTTTGTGTGTGTGTGTGTGTGTGTGTGTGTGTGTGTGTGTGTGTAAATTCTGTTGGTTCAATAGCTCTAGAAAACTCTCCTAATACCATACATAGCATTCATAGCATTTGGCTTACTTGTTAGAGAAAGCTTAGACTATTTCATAGAAGCAAAGAAAATGGGAATGAAAACTAGTGGTGTGGGTTATTAACTGCTTTTTAACAAATGAATTCAAGGAATACTTAGCTAAATGTTCACTCAGTCCTATTCACTCAGTACTGTTATACAGCAAAAGGGCTACAAATGAAGATCTAAGCGGCTTCATTCTCATGACTGTTGTCTTAACCTGGATGAATATAAGTCCGGGACCCATTGCTGATGGCCATTGGTGTGCCTAATGTGATCTTTAATACAGCTTGGGCCTCCTCAAAGAGAGTAGTTTCAGGGTTGGTTTCTTGCATAGCAGCCCAGGGCTCTAAAAGTCTAGGTTTGGAGCTAGTAATAGTGTCATTTATGCCATACTTTCTTGATGCACTAAAGAACAGCCTGATTCCTGGGGAGGAGAACTGGATTCCTTTTCTCAGGGAAGAAGCAGCAAAGAATCTGAAGTCATCCTTAAGCACCTCCACCAATTCTGGTGACTAGCTAAAGGAACAAGACAGAAAACAAAAAATCAAGAGCCAAAACAGAAATTCAACTTAACCATACTCCTTTTGTGATGGTTAAAAGATAATCTAAATAAAATTTCTTGCCTAACATTTGAAGCAGTAGGAAATTTTTGTGAGAAAGCCACTATTTCTCAAGGGTTTTTGTAGTTGTTGTTTAGATTATGCATATGAATGCAGGTACTCGTGAAGGCTACAAGGTGTTAGTCCCTGGGAGCTGGAGTCACAGGTGGTTGTGAACTGCCTGATGTGGGAGCTGAGAACCAAACTCAGTTCTTCTGCAAAAGCAGCACTTGCTCTTAACTGTTGAAATCTGTGTAGCCTGAGTATTTTCCTTTGACTACAAACTGGCACACTGATGCAAGCCTATAATCCCAGTGTCTGGAAGGCAGAGGCAAGAGGATCCCAATTCTAGGCTAGCCAATGCTACAATAGAGAGTTCCAGCTCAGTCTGAGCTACATTGTGAGAATCTGTCTAAAAGAGGGAGATGGGAAGGAGGCCGGGATACACCAGTGGTAGAATGCTTGCCTAATATGCCCAATATTGGTACTGCAAAATCAAAGCAACCAAATGAACTGCTTCCTCAGAGACAAGAAAGCTTGATCCAAATTTTGTTAAAACAGCTGTGATTCTGAAAAATAAAATGTCAACAGCTTCTGAAGAGACATAGTCCAGTCAATGCTCAGAGGGAAACCCTGAGTTTCTGTGTGGAGCAAGAGGAATGCTACTCCATTGCTGGTGGGAGTAGAGAATTGTATAGCCACTTTGAAAATCAACATGGCAGTCTCTCAGAAAACTTGGAATCTATCTATCTCAAGACCCAGCTATACCACTCCTAGCATTTACCCAAAGGATAAT